ACCAAGGATAAGATCCTTTAAGAGGCGACGCTAAGAGCTACTATTTTGTCTGCCATCATTTGTCAACTTTAATGATCACCCTTGAGTTCTCATTTAATGGGTAATATTGGATGATCATTCCAAACAGAGGTACTGATCCAAGGTTTATAATCAGCATCAGCTTTCTCTACCCATCTACAAAGCTTGTTTATCTGGTTTGGCGGTTTGATGATGCTGATGGTCCCTCTAACTGCTTTCCTTTGCAGCTTACAGGAAATAGTTGCTGCTTGGGGGGGGCTTATGAAAGTGCAGGTACGCAAAATGGCCGAAAGCTGACTGCTTTAAGCTGCCAGCACAGCTGCTGAATTTGGACTGTGCTTTTGGGGTTTCACGTCAATGGAATCCATGGTCTCGTATACATCTAACTGGTGAATCTTCCTTGTGCTCAGAATCATCAAAGACATTTTCTATGGTAGCAATATCAGCGAGTTCTGTTATTTTGAGAAAGCACTGGCATCCTTAACAGAGCATGTTGTCCATAGGAAATGATCCATATTTATTTGGAAGAGGAAAAGGACAGTTGTGCAAATGGAACCACAATAAGTTGTAGTTTAGACTAGTCAGTTGAAGAACTTGATTTTTCTGTCACGGATGCGTCCTAATATTTCTTCTAATGATTTAGTGCCCTTGTATTCACGTGCCCTTATGCTGGTAATGAAGCTATTTGGATACTACTGATATTTTTATTTTATTAAGTATCATGAGTATTGAACTTGATATGTAGATTAAGGTTTTAGGCAATTATTTCATCCAATTAGTATATGTTTAATGATTTAGATTTGGTGTGAACCAGCTGCATTGGCATATTTGTTACATGGAACAAAGATTAAAATAATTAAATATCCAGTTATAGGATGAATGTGCTTGCTGGTTTAGTTGGTAATTTAGTATGATTTATAGTTTGTAAGAAAAAAAAGGAAAAAAAGATTTAAGTTCTATTAATGAGATTCAGGTATATGAGAATGGTAATAACAGTAGGTCAGGTATTTTCAGGGTATACAGTTCTACTGGATTTACTGGAAAGATTTTAATCTATTGTATGTTAAGATAGGATGATTCATTTTTTTATGGATTTATTATCATTGCAGCATAATATGTATTCTCTCCAAGTTTGTACCTAGTTGTTTTTAGATGCAAGTTTTCTCTTGTCTGCACTTTTCACATTCATGAAAAAGTAGGGTTTTTGTGTTGTTTTGGCATCATGATGTCAAGTAAGAAAACAGAAAACTAGTGCAGTGACCACTGTTCCCATCAGACCACTCATGAACTTATATTTCTACCATCCTCCTTAGAACTCAGGATGCCAAGAACAAGTTGGTATGGTGCCAAGATGGACACAAGCTGTCCAGTTTACATCCAAAGGCAGCAATCATAGACAGTGGTGGATGATGCTCTGGTAATTATTGGTCAAACATAAAAGTGGCATCACTAGTTTCTTGGTATGGTATGGTATGGAATGCACTTATTGTTGGGTATTGGGCAAATGTGACACATGGAGAACAGCAGCATCCTCTTGTGAAGAAAGTGGTTGTTGATCTCAGAGCAGTGGGACAAAGCTGTGTTTGCTGTCATCCTTTGGTAAGACTTCCATCTGACTCCCAACAACCTCAAAACTGTACATAAATGTTATATCTGCACCTTTGTTATCAGTGACGAAGCCCATCAGAAAAAGGGCAGATGGAGTGATTGCTAATTGGCTCAACAAAATGTTCACGGCAAAAGAAACATATAACACTCCAACTCCCGGAAAGGGATATTCTACCTCCCATCGACTATAAAATAATCATTTCATGGTACACAATTCATTATTAAGTCAAATGATACTAAGATATTTCGGTTGATCGATGCATTATTATATCGAGTAATGGTTGGATCTCATGTTCGAATTCACAGTATATTATTTGATGTAATAATTTTAAAAATATAAGATGTTTTAGTACTAATTATATATTATCTCATGTAGTTAGTTATTTTTAGTATTTCGATCATTATACTTTAAAAATTTATATTGTCTTATAAAACTGAAATATCTACGTTCATTTATCTTAACGATGTTAGTTTTACCAATAAAAATATAATGATAAACGATGACATTACTAGGGATCACCGGTGATTGTTGGATTAGAAGAACAATGATGAGAGATAGAGAGTCACTCTATAACTACGTTGACGTCGATGTAATTGTTCAACGATCCTTTCATTTTCATATTTACGTTAATAAAATTGATGATGATATGATAAATAAATCTAGATATTGTAATTTCATAATTATAAAGATATTAATATAATATTTTAAAAATATAAGAATTGATATGCTAAAATAGTTACTGGACAATAATATGCTACAATCGTTGGGAACCCCCAAACAGTAGAGATGGGGACGATCAAAACTGTAGAACGGAGACCGCCACTGTTTCTGGGAGATGCAGCAGCAACCACCGCAATCAATGGGGATGGTGGTGTGTGGTCATCAGTAGCATCACCGTGATGGGACCGGAGGAGCTCCGTGCAGGCTCGGCTCAGGACATCCTGGAACGGAATGGAAGGTGACGATGATGCTGGGGCGATTGGGTCGTCGGGGCCATTCCTGCACGCGCCATCGCCCTCATCCATCCCGTGGCTGCGTTAAGACGCGAGCTCGGAAACACTAGTCTTCGAGCCAAAGGCCGCGAGCTTGTGCTGTGCGCTCACAGTGCCGGTCTTACGTCTTTGTGCAGGTGGTGGGAATCAGCTCACGTGGTGCTGCTGCCACCGGGAAGAAAGAACACTATGCATCGACAGTCTATCTCACCATTTAGAGATGACGAGTAACGCTCCAAAAGTACTATCATCTCTCGAATCCTCGCTCCTGCATCTATGTCGATCGTAAAATCGTCGAGAACAAATTCGTATATTTGAGCGAATTATATTTCTTTTTTCATTAATTATCTTTAATATTTTAATTTTTATATTTTTAAAAATTATATTAAGATTTTTATACTTATGAAAATAAAATATTTATTCTTGTTTCTTCTTACATCATCATCATCAACTCGAAAATACCGTAGAGGTTATCATTGAGCACGTACGATATTTTTTATCAATAGAATCGACGATACGAGGAAAAATAAAATTAAATATTTTACATTCGTAAGTATGTGGATTTCAATATAATTTATGAAAATATAAGGATCGAGATGCTAAAGATAACTAATTACATAGAATAATTTGTAATTAACCCCTTGTATCCACGTAGAAATCGAACAAAGAATAATTACGAAAAGACTATGATAATATACATTAAATTTAATCCATGGTATAATATTTGAAAAGCACATATTAGAGAGAATATATGTTTAAATAATTGAAATATGTTGGAATGTCTTTTGAAAATAACTTTTTAATTATAAGGCGTTTCATCTAAAAACTCAAAACTTATCTATAATTTTCTATTCAGAACATCTTTATCTATTGAAACATCTTATGATTAACGTACCATTGCATATCTTATATGCCATTTAATGTAATTAAAATTAATTTATTTTAGAAAAAATCCCTCTCGACCACATTGGAAGTAAATTTTAAGGAAAAAAAAACAAGTTCAACCCTATTTGTGTATAGGAATGCCATTTGGCCACATTGGAATTGTCTTCTCCCAATGTTAAAAATCCAAAATAAATATAATCGATCGAATACATCAAGATATTTATCATAAATTATCCATTCATCCGAAAGAATCATTAATCATAACAACAGATTAGTTAAAAATTAAGATGAGATGGTAAGAATAATTCTAAAACATTGGAAGAATAAAAATTGATGTATCGATATATCTCGACATGTATGAGACTCGCATCGATCTAGTTTTTATGATTGATATCATTCCAATATCTAAAACATCAAATCATGCTAAATAAAAGATTGATGATTAAAGCATCTATACTCTTCCTTTACTTATTCTCTTCTTTTTCTCTCGCTTCATCTCTCTCATGAAAAGCAAAAGGGCATATGGGATGAAAAGATCCAATAATTTTATATTCCCCCAAAAAATAAAAAACACACGACTAAAATAAAGAAAAGAAATAAACCAACTTCACATGAAGTCTTTTATATATAATCGAGCTCGAATATATATAATATATATATATATATATATATAGCAAAGTCGGCGACACGCAACGCTCCTCCTCTCTTTGATCTTTGTTTATTCTTCCGCAGCCAATCACCTGCGGTAAGCATCACCACTTGGCCTCCGAAATCATGCGGTCACCACGACATCAGCAGCGAAGAATGTGACGATACAGAAACGCGGTCATCGGTCCGATACGCGCACCGAAGGAGGTCGCCACACTTCTCGCTCCTCTCTGTGAGCTCACTCGCTGGAGGGAATCCGGTGATGTCACCGAGATGGTGAGGGGAAACAGACAGAAGAAGTCGGTCCACGTAGTGCGTGCTGCGGTGGGAGATGGATAACCAATGGGCGGTAGACACGTCGGCGCTGTCCCTCTCCGTTTCTCTGCTTCCTCTTACCGAGATCAAAGTTCACGTGTCCGTCACGTGGATTGTCGGGGTGCCACGTGAGGCTCCGATTTAATCTCCTGCTAAATAAGAGGATAAATATGATTATATGCGTGATTAGTACTGAAGAGTAAGATTGATTATTAGTACCATTTCGTTAAGGAAAATAAATAAGATTAATAAATCAATAAATGAAAATAATAATAATAATATAAGTATAAATTTCTGACGTGGAAATTAGTGGGAGATACTTTATTTAGCCACAAAAAAGAAAATATTTAAATACGTGGTGAGTCGAAACTTATCGCCCCCATAGTAAGCTGCGATGATGTACGCAACGTCATCCAGCGCTACTACCGGGTGGTGACGACATCCCACACGTCACCCCGCGACTTCAGCATCTAACGGCAACCATCAAAGTCCGGTCACCGCCCCACGCATCCTCCCCCAGAGAGAGAGAGAGAGAGAGAGAGGGAGAGAGAGCCATATCCCTGAAATCTAGCGAAAGAGTTCCCGGACATCCCACTGTAGAGATCGCATTTCTGATCGCCGCGGAAGTACGAATCCGTTTTGTGGGTGCATGTCTTGGTTTCCGCTGAAGTTTTGGTGGATTTCGATGGGTTTCTCTTCGTTTTCCGCTTTGATTCTGTTGGTATCGACGGCTTGATCGGTTTATTGCCCCAGTGATTATTGGGTTTTTGGTGGAATTACTGCGAGAAAGGTGTCTTTTTGATTGAGATTTCTTCTCTGCGCTTCGAATTTCGACGCTCTTAGCAGCAATTGTCCGTGTATAAGGTCCTGGATCAACAAGGTTGGATTTTGGATTGGAGTAGGTGATATCTGCGGAAATTTGCCGAGAAAAGATCGGTTTTTGGAAGCATAGGATGTGAGATAGTCCGGATCTTGGATCTTTAGGAGCAAGATTGTAGGAATCTGGGCTTCTACGCCATGCCTAATGCCACGGAGCCTTCGTCTACCATAAGCTTCGCCTCCTCCTCCTACCTCTCCAATTGCTCGAGTGCCTACCATGCTCCCGTCGCCGCCCCTAACCCCCCGGTCCAGCACGCAGCGCCCGACGGCGGGACGAACCTCGAGGTCTTGAGCCTCAGCAAGCTGAGCTCCAATCTCGAGCGCCTCCTCGTGGACACCGAGTTCGACTGCACCGACGCTGAGATCATGGTCGAAGGGGCCCCTGTTGGCGTACACCGCTGCATCCTGGCAGCCCGGAGCCGGTTCTTCCGCGAGCTTTTCTCGCGGGAAGGAAGCGGAGGGGCTCCGCGGGAGGGGAAGCCCAGGTTCGACATGGACGAGCTGGTCCCCGGTGGCCGGGTTGGCCGGGAGGCCTTCATGGTCTTCTTGAGCTATCTGTACACGGGCAAGCTGAAACCAGCCCCACAGGACGTGTCGATCTGCGTCGACAGGTTCTGCGCGCACGACTCGTGCCCGCCGGCAATTGGCTTCGCCGTTGAGCTCATGTATGCGTCTTCTGTCTTTCAGATCGCCGAGCTTGTCTCACTCTTACAGGTTTGTCTTTTAGCTTATTGCCTTCCTTCAGATAGTCTTTTATGTTATGTATATGACCGATGAGTATGACCCTCTAACATGGAAGATAGAGATGCCATGAGATTTAGAATTTGTGAGCCTGAGAGGGAGCAAGAAATCGGTGATTGTTTTATCTTGTCTATGAGATTTAGTGCCGGATATTCTTATGGTGAGAGTTATCGCTAGTTTAAATTTTGAGCTTAGGTAGATGAAGCAATTGATTTCCTGATTGCATACTGTTGAGTAGGACGATGTGGTGTGATTCTATGATGCAATTTTTGAGAAACAAGATGCTTAACCCCTGTCTCTATATAACATTTGATTTCTGCCTCAAGTTTCCATACACACATGAAATGAACTCCTGTGGGATCTGATGAAAGACATGAGCAAATTTATGTTAAGTCGGACAATGGATGAAGGAAAAGTGAATTAGTTGGGACGATATTGCGATGGCTTATGCTCTCAAGGAAAACCAGGATTGATGACATCAATGGACATTTAGTTGTTTGGATAGGGAGGTGATAAAAAGTTTTATCAGACACCAGGAATCATTATTGATACTTAAGATGGTGGAGTTTTTTGGCTCTCTGTTATGAATATAAGTCCATGAGTTCTTGCAAGTTGCAAGTTTCTCAATAAATAGATTGTATGCGAAAATCAATTTTTATTTTCCAACTACAGGATTTATTTTCAGTACCACGTGATTACTGCTGTTGTGCAGCAGCAGCCATTAGATCCGTTTTGATTGACTCAAGAACTACTTTAAAACATCACTAATTAAGTGTTCAAAATGAAGAGTTTTACAGAAACGAGAATTTGCAATCTCCATAGTTTGAAGTCTTAATTAGGACTTGCATGAAATTTTTTGGGTTGGTAAAATCTAGAGAGCATTACTGAAAATTGCATCTATAGTTTTACGAGTACGCAAAGTGCAAACGTGATCGAGATACAGAGAAAAAGGGAACTGTTTGGGAGAGGTGCTATTGTCTTGAGATGACTAATTAATGAAGTCACACGAGTAGTGTAGACTCATGAAAAAAATGCATTTTTGGAAATTTATTATTAGTGAAAATTGTGCGATGAATAAAAGGGAATATGACCGTACATACTGTTGTGAGAAAGATCAGGCAGATTACAGAATTTTGTTTCCCTTCCGAGTTGATTTTGTGACCGCCTATTGGCTCATATATGTCAATATCCACATTGAGCTAATCTTATATCTTTCATCCAAAAGTTATTTGCTTTTATACAATCTTGGTTTGCATCCACAATCTTTGCCTTCAGTTTACTGCTGCGGAGCCAACTTGTTCTTCTTTCTGTAATGCACAGCGTCGACTTCTGAATTTTGTTGAGAAGGCTCTGGTGGAAGATGTAATCCCTATCCTTCAGGTTGCTTCCCACTCAAAGCTTAACCAGTTGCTCACTCACTGTGTACAAAGAGTGGCTAGGTCAGATCTTGATGATATTGCTCTTGAGAAGAAGCTCCCACAAGAAGTAACTGATGAAATTAGATCATTGCGCCGCAAATCCCAGCCCAAGGAATCTAATGTCACTGTGGATCCTGTCCATGAGAAAAGAATTAAAAGAATCCACAGAGCCCTGGATTCAGATGATGTTGAACTCGTAAAGTTGCTCTTGAGTGAGTCTGGAGTCACTCTTGATGATACATATGCTCTGCACTATGCGGCTGCTTACTGTGATTCCAAAGTCATCGCTGAGTTGTTAGACCTTGGGTCAGCCAATGTGAACTTGAAGAACGATAAAGGATACACACCACTTCATGTGGCTGCAATGCGAAGAGAGCCCAAGGTGATTGTGTCACTTCTCACAAAAGGTGCCTCTGCATTAGAAACAACAGCTGATGGTCAAAATGCTGTTAGAATATGCAGGAGACTAACTAGGGCAAAAGATTACTTTACAAAGACAGAGCAGGGACAAGAGTCAAATAAAAATAAGTTATGCATTGATATTCTAGAGAGAGAGGTGAGAAGAAACCCCATGGTTGGAGAAGACGCCGTTACATCACCGTTGTTGGCTGATGATCTACACATGAAGCTTCTTTACCTGGAAAACAGAGGTAAGTCTTTTATGGGAAAATGGTGATACAAGTATCAGTCGTCTTCTTTGAAATATATTTGTTCGATATTATCTTCTTTGCAGGGTGTCTTTCACCTGTACATTGAAAGTATATCTACAATATTATATACATCTGTCTTATATGATTCTATAATTATCTTTAAAATAATTATTGCCTTTTCAACTAGTCCTGGCCCCATCTTCTTCATTCCAAATTATGATAGAGGAGCAGGAGGAGGTCACATAAATGCTGGTTGCTTTTGTTGCATCTTCAAGTCTGATTTAGTATTGGGCAGTAAGATTCGATGGCTTTTATAGTTGGCTAGCACCAAGCATCGCTTGCTTTATCCAGTTCATCTCTAATTGCAGTTAGATAATAGCTAGTAGTCTAGGCCAAGACACAAAATACTTGGCTGTATCGGCTATTGAAACCCCAAATGCGGTGAAACCTGTGAGTAGGAGCCAATCTTGAGTTTTCCTTATGCAGATTGACCAAGTCGGATGAATTTTGGCTTTCATAAGCCAATACTTTATACCTTTGAGCTGTCCACTTGTGGGGAAGCTCTTTATGATTTCCCTTGTTGAAAATTACCCTCCAAAAATAAACCATTTATATCAGAAATGTAATGGTTTTATATCCATTGGATGAGCATCAAAATTTAGTTTTTATTTGTATCATTCTTGTGCACAAATTATTTTGGTTTTGTGAATTCCTTGATTCATTTTATTTTAGCTTTTTTATATTTAATATTTCTTTTTTTATATACTTAAAAAATGACTTTGTCTCAAAATGCCAATCCAATCAATTTTATGAAGTACCTGTGACATCAACAGGGCTCTTTTGATTTTTGAATCTGATCCCTTGGTGATTCATGATAGGTACTTTGTATTTTTTCCTTGTCAGCTGTCATCGTATTTAATTCTTGCAAGCAATCAAATAATGGAGCATAATTTTTCATTATACATCATTCTTTTTTTTTTTTTTTCTCAAGCAATTGTTGTGCAGTTTTTCTTTTGTAAATACCATTATTTATGTAAGGACATTGTTGTTTAAAATTTAAATATTAGGGTGCCATGACTACACCAGAAATGTCATGCATGATGCTATATTGTTAAATTCTTCAATTTCTGAGTTTTTTAGTCAGTCCTGGATTTGATTGTTGTATGAAATCTCTTGTTTATTCGTTCTAATCAGGATATAAGAGGATTCTCATATCTTATTCCGGACATTGATTAATGAAGAAGCAACAATTTGCTTTGTAATTCATAGTCTCATCTGTGAAGCAAAATATATATTTGGTAACCACTAACCGATTTCTGACATCAAAATTCAGGTCCTAAATCATTTATTTTAACGATGTGCTCTATAGTAAACTGATAATTCTTTGAAGATTACTGCTGTAGCCAAAATTGTATCTGAGAATGTGCACTATCTAGGAAAAGACAGATACCACTATTTTACTATTAGATTGATCCACTCGTGTTACCGGAGGACACTTGCTAATTTTGATCATTTTACTGTTCAGTTGCATTTGCGAGATTGTTCTTTCCTGCTGAAGCCAAGGTAGCCATGGAAATAGCACATGCGGACACGACTTCTGAATTTACTGGTCTTTATAAATCTAGGAGCTCTAGTAACCTGAGGGATGTCGACTTGAATGAGACACCTGTAGTGCAAAATAAGAGGCTGCGCACCAGGGTAGATACCTTGATGAAAACAGGTGATTTGATATGACCAGTTTCTGCCAACAAATGTTTTCTCCTCGTCCACATGATTTTTTTTCTTTTTGTGATCATTGTTTATAATGTTGTAATATATTGCAAATTGATACTCATGCACATGATTGGCAGTGGAATTGGGTCGCCGCTATTTTCCCAACTGTTCACAAGTGCTAGATAAGTTCCTGGATGATGACTTGCCTGATCTGTTCTACCTCCAGAAGGGCAGCCCTGATGAGCAGAAGATCAAAAAGTTGCGCTTCTGTGAGCTCAAAGAGGATGTCAGGAAGGCATTCAGCAAGGACAAGGCCGGGAGCTTGCTCTCAGGGTTGTCATCCTTGTCGTCCTCATCGCTGCCTAAGGATTAAACAAATCATCACAAGCCTGTAACAAACTGAAGTTGTAGGGATTTTGTGATGTACATGTACAATAGTTTTCGAGAAAAATATGGCATATAGGAAGTTCTTTTAGACGAGTTTACCATAAATGTCTGGACCGAAGACCATGCAGCAAGATCAATAATTATCAGAAAGAATGCTGTTTTCTGCTGCTACCAGAGGCAGGAGCCTGCTGTATTTGTCTCGCCTTTTTGTTTGTGTGTAGAACTCTTTCTTTGAACAAATAATTACCAGAATAATATGCATCTTTTTGCATCACTTCTTGGGTTTTTTTCTTTTGCTGAGATGAAGATCATGTTGACCTCGGTCTTACGGTTCGAGGATTTTGCTCCAAATTTGATCAGAATCAAATTCTGTGTGTGACATGATATGGTCCTTCCAATGCATTTTCTACAGTTCAATTATTGCAGTTATTTGCAGATGCTTGAGATGGTCCTCAATGCAATTTGTAGCTCTTCCTATTCAGGTATTTCATCAATCTCAGCCAACTGATCTCTCATATTTTGTATTGACTATGGTGTTATTCAGGTATCTCATACATGATTGGGAGTGCATAGGAAACCATCCAATTAGCACATATGTTGGTGTCTGATAATAATCTCCATGTATAGTTGCTTTTAAGTTTGGTTTGTAGTTGGGAAAAAGAAAAAAATCTGACAATTTTAGGGTCTTCATATGTGGATTTCTAAATCACTGTAAAAATTTTGTGATATGATATATTTCATGAACCTTTTGATTCAACAAAATACATGTCCAGGGAGATTGAAGCATGGAACTTAGGTACCTCCTTACCTTGATGTTTTACTCCCCATTTACATCTGTACAAACCACCACCAACGCAGGAACTAAACAACGTGAGCATCTCCTCCAATCCATCACCCTCCACCTTCACAAAGTTAATGCTTAAATAGGGTTTGTGTCAGTGCCTGCCTGCCCCATTCCCTGTCCTCCTTCCCCTGAAACAAGCAGCAGTGGGCGCAGCCAAGCAAGGAAGACGCAGCATGCGCATTCCTTCTCCTTGCTTGAAGGGCCCCCTCTGCAGTCCATTGCCTCCCTCATCCGGTTCCTCTCTATCTACATCAGACCGCACAGATCTCGGCTTCCACCGCCGTTCATTGCCTATAAAGACCCTCCTCATCGCATCTCAATTCCCGTCGAAGACGACACCGAGAGGAATGGCGTTGTTCATTCCCCAGACCACCACCACCACGGTTTCCCTCTTTCTTCTCCTTGCCACCACATTGTTCTCCCTCCTCCATGCAGCCGGTGACAAGGGCCATGGCTCACTGGTACTGGGTCTGACCCATGTCAGAACTGTCTCACCTCCTCGAGTTGCAGCTGTGACCACGGACATGATCGAGCCTCTCAGAGGATTCAGAGATGGCTATCTGATTTCCTTGAACCTGGGCACGCCACCGCAAGTCATCCCGGTCTACATGGACACCGGGAGCGACCTCACTTGGGTCCCCTGTGGGAACATCTCCTTCGAGTGCATGGACTGCGACGACTACCGCCACCACAAGCTGATCGCCGCCTTCTCTCCCTCTTACTCTTCCTCGTCGCTGCGAGACCTGTGCACCAGCCCCCTGTGCGCTGACGTCCACAGCTCCGACAACCCCTACGACCCATGCGCCGTGGCTGGGTGCTCCATCAGCACCCTCGTGAGCGGCGGCTGTCCCCGGCCATGCCCTTCCTTCTCCTACACGTATGGCGCAGGAGGGCTGGTCGTCGGCAGCCTCACGAGGGACACCCTGAGAGTCCACACCCAGTCGAGTGCTGCCACCAGAGAGGTCGCAAGCTTTTGCTTCGGGTGCGTCGGTTCCACGTTCAGGGAGCCCATCGGCATCGCGGGGTTTGGGAAGGGTGCACTCTCCCTTCCCTCGCAGCTCGGCTTCCTCCGAAAGGGCTTCTCTCACTGCTTCTTGGCGTTCAAGTACGTCGACAACCCCAACTTCACCAGCCCTTTGGTCGTAGGGAGTCTTGCAATCTCCTCCAAGGAGTACTTCCTCTTCACCCCTATGTTGAAGAGCCCGACGTACCCCAACTACTACTACATCGGACTAGAGGGCATAAGCATCGGCAACGACACCATGGCCATTGCACCATCGAACCTCAGAAGCTTCGATCCAGAAGGCAATGGGGGGATGCTGATCGACTCTGGGACGACCTACACTCACCTGCCGGAGCCGTTCTACTCTCTCCTCCTCTCGAAGATGGAGTCGACGATCGTGTACACGAGATCGAACGAGTACGAGCGGAGAACCGGGTTCGATCTCTGTTACGAGACTCCTTGCTCCGATGGCTCCTGTTCGGACAGTCTCCCCTCCATCACCTTTCACTTCCTGAACAGTGTGAAGCTCTCGTTGCCAAAGGATAACTGCTTCTACGCAATGAGTGCTCCCAGGGGCTCCATGGTGGTGAAGTGCTTTCTCTTCCAGATAATGGATGATGGGGGCTACGGTCCAGCTGGTGTCTTTGGGAGCTTTCAGCAGCAGAACATGGAGGTTGTGTATGACTTGGAGAAGGAGCGAATCGGCTTCCAGCCTATGGACTGTGCTTCTTCTGCTGCCAGATACGGGCTCCATCAGAAGTAGCTGTCGATTCTTCGAGCTTTCCAGTTGGAATAAGAAGTGGAGAAGAAGAAGAAAGTGTGGCTGTGGAGCCCTGAAGAGTCTTCAACTTTCTACCATTGGACAGACATGGCACTTCTTTGGAAGGATTGAGGTGATAGAGTGGAAGTTTTCTCATTGTCTGAAGTGATGATGCAATCATGTAAACAATCTATGGGTTACTGGAAGACAAACCAATCATGTGTCAGTGTGAGTTGGTGATGGATTGTTAACTCAAAGTATTGTGTTTGAAAAAGTTGGAATCAGTTGAATCATCTCTTTCTTCTGATTACTTAACTGTGACCTCCTAAGAAAATGGTGTTTGCTCATCAAACTAAACAAGAATATTTGGTTGGGTTAGAGCAGCTAACAAAGTATCGATGCAGGAACTGCATAAGAATGGGTCTGTCTGCTTAATTCACTGAAAAAGACAAAGAAAAAGAAAGAATCTTCAATCTACTTTGCTTTTGTAATTAACCAGATAAAGGTGCCAATATATTCTTATGCCCATGCTGTGTAAAGCCACTGCCACAGAATAAACTGCTGCTGAAGCTGTCCAACTTAATTTCAGAAAATATATAATATTATGATGTTGACATATTTAAATGCAAGAAGTACATGCAAATGATTGTTCATGGATCATAACAGGATGCATGACAGTGAATTTAACTTTATGAAAGATTTCAGAACCATAAAAACACCATATTCTTGTAAATGATTGGGGAATTCAATGAATGTTTGACCTGAAAACACATTAAGTATTCGCAGCTTGCTTCCTACATCCATGAGACTACACAAAGGAGCTATAAACTGGATGATGCATGGAACAAGACACATGTTTTTACTTCACAGTACTAATTGTTGGAATCATAACAGGGGATGGAGAAACTGACTGTTAATTTCTTCTGCACAAATGGCAGATCATTCTTAGGCTAAACTTAGTACACAGCAGTATAAACCATAAGTAACAAGAGAAAATGAGGAGAAAAAGGCCTTCATATGTTTATTTGGGTGAAGACTACTGTTCTTCCCTTCAAAGTGGTCTGTGAACCAGAACTCCCAACGCTAATTTAATTGGATCATCTTAAGTCTTTTCTCTTTCTTGAGATCCTAAGATTGGACCTTTTTACATGTGAAAATCCATTAATACCATGTATTATTATCATTTATTTTTGTTTAAGCAAACTGATATATGATACTCAAAAAATGATGTATGAGTTCTCTAAAGTTACAGATGTACTTGCTGGGTGCAAACATTCTACAGTCATGAATCTTGATCAATTAGATTATACAGATGATATGATTATCAAGATAAACATTGATACTTTGCTACTACATCTATACAACTAAATAATTTTATTCCAGTTGACTTCTAATCTATGGTACCAGATCTGAGATAAATCCTTCTTGGCACAGTCTCATGAACAAGTCCGTATAAAGAGTGTTTAGTGTAGTATTTATGTATGTTTATATCTTTTGATTTTATTCATGTTTTTATACAACCCTATGTTAAAAGGTTCTTAAGTTGATCTTTTCCGAATGAATATATAAAAATCTTATATGATTTAGATAAAATTAACAAAATTCGTGACATAACTTTAAAATATTGAAAAGGCAAGAAATGTCATATTAGACAGGCCAATAAAACTTGGCAAGAAGAAAGATAGATTGAACTGCTATGCATCCATCTCACAAACCTCACCCATTCCACACAGGACAGTGGTTCTCTCATTCAACAAAACAAAGCATCTCTGACACAAAGTAAATGCCACCTCTCCTCTAAGGAGATTTAGTTGTTCAGTATCTCAAATCTCTCTGCACTCACACACTCACTTTCGTGACACTGTTTCGATGTGGTATACACAGAGAGCATCTTACTCCATGAGCTTCTTCTAAAGCAATCATGACATGAGAGTCACAGCAGAGATTCCCACAGGCCCAGTATGATTCATGATTGGAAGTAAGAATGGGTGATCAAAGATGAGGTTTCCTCCAATGATTCCAAACCAGTGGTGAATGAATGCACAACAAAGCCACCCTTTTCCTTTTCCCCTCCCCCTCCCCTGGCCCAGTGCTTGACATTTATGGCCATGTTCTTGTTCATTTATTCTGGAGCTTCTGCACCCTGCCAGTGACTAAACCAAGGATTGAGCTGGCAAGCATGTTGATGGCAGCAGCCAAGCCGTCCATGGACTGCAAACCCATCACTGACTTCGACTCCTCAAGTTTGGCCTTCCTCCTCTCTATGCTTATGAGATCCTTGTGCCTCACCTCCTCCTGCTTCTCACCTGCTTGGAGTGCCTCTGCCATAATGGAAGCACATTTCATGATTGCAGAACTGAGCTCGAGGGTGTTGCTGCTGCTTCCTTCTCCTCTTTTCCTCTTTCTTTGCGGTGAGATTGGATGCTGACTATCTTCGGAATCTGAGCTATCACAGCATGCCAGAATACAGACCAATAGCAATGTGAAGGAAGAAAGATCACAATATGACCAAGCAGGTAGATTGCTAAAAGCATTAGCAGCAGAGGAAAGAGAGCTACAGACTTTTGAGTGATCAGCAACATTTTGATGCTCTCTGAAACAACTATTTATGCGAGACAGAGTGTCGAACCTGTGGTGGTCACCGGTCGAGCATGTAGTGGAGCTGGTGATCCTGCACCTGGGCCGCGTCTCCTCTTCTCTTCCATTGGTCTTCCAGGTGGAGCAGATGCAGCACCGCTCCTCTTCCTCTGCACTACCTCAGTTAAAGCTTCATATACCTCAGGCAAGACATTGGAGGGCAGATTCCTTTCCTTCCTATCGTTCTTCTCGAGGTTCCAATAAGATAAATCTGGGTTTCCTCCGACGCTCGAGCTCGTCTCGTATGCTCTGACCTTGTTGTAATCCCTCATGAGATTGTCCCACCTGTCGTTGCACTGGTTTTGGCTCCTGTAGCAGCCACGTCCCCAGCAGCGATCCTCCACCCATTTCCACCTCATCTCTTGCGGTCTACCGCTGCTGCCTCGAGGCAGCTCCTTCAACCTCTGCTCCCTCCTCTCGCAATCCATCTTCTTTGCCTGGATCAGAACCATCGTCTCGTCGAGCGTCCAGTTCCCTTTCCTGTACTCCCTACTTTTGTCTCCTCTTCCCACCACAACGAAAACATTCTTCTCCATCTCCTCGTGTCTTTTCGTTGTGAGGCTATGGATCGCATGCAGATGAAGCAGAAGAGCGCAGACAAAGGAACATAGGTTGGTGATCGCATGCAGATAAAATAACAAGCAGGAAGATAAAAAGGAACACGGCTTATGGGTCTCACGGAGTCTTCAACCTCCAAGCCTCACTGGGAAGAGAGAAGATGACAAGAACATCATAAGAATATATATATATATATTTCTGATGGCATTGGTGAAAGAAAAATTCTCACCGCCCACCGCATTACTGATGTAATAAAAACTGACAATAAATGACATCGCTGTTCCAATGTCTTACCTCATAATTGGGGATGCACCACAATCAATTAATTGTACTTGCATTGTCATGCGATGGAGGGAAGATGAAGTTACGCGATGCAACAGTGTCTTAGTAAGCAACGATGAGGAGGGTGAGAAGGTACTGAGATCTTACGATAGAACGTAGGCAAAGGGACAATCATAAAAGACGATGGCAATTATGATGATGAGATGGATTGTGGAAGAAGCAAACAGGCGATCATGACGAGTAAAATGCTAAAGATAGCGACGCTATGAAAATAAAATAAAAAGGTCCGTTCTGAGAATTTTCTCATATATTTTTAATTTTGAAATGAATTTAGTAACTCTTTTGTTTTAGCCATATAACGACTGCCACAAAAGGTTGCACGAAAATAACAGGCGATATATTCGTATCGGATATATCATTAACGCCAACCGCTGGTCTTGAAGGCGACCTGCAGATTGGACCACAAACCCCCCCCCTCCCTCCCTCTCTCTTCTGGCAATCGCCTCAAAATTTCCCCCGAAACCCTCATTGTCCTCTCGCGGCAGATCCAGTCCGGCAATCTCCCTTGGGATGGCCTCCAACGGGAGCTCCGCGGTACGTTATTTCTGGATCTTGGTGTTTTCGGTCTCCGATTAGGGTTGTCGCTCGCTCCTTTTTGATCTATCGCACGCCCAAAAAACACCACATGTTTTTGGGGCTTTATTTTTTGGCCATTCCAGAGGGTTGAAAGCACTGAGAGCAGCTTGGAGAGGATCAAGCGCCAGCTTACGTCGGGATCGGGGAGGTACCTGCTGCAGGGCCCGCTTCTCAAACGATCGGAGACGGTGTGGCTCCTCGGATCTCTTGTTGTTCTTGAAATTCATGTTTCAGTGCCATTTTCTGCTCTGTTTTGTTCGAAGTTGGAAATTTACGACACTTTGATGTTGTTTTTATATTCATCAGGTCGAATCTTGTATCCTGTATTGTTTTCTTGAACATTTAGGGTTTTTGGAATTTTATACTTCATCTGGGAGAATGAGGCATTGCCTCCTTAATTCACGAGTTATGGTAGTGCATGCTAGATATACAAACCTGATCAAGGAAAGGACATGGTAGAAAGCCTTAAAGACATCTTATGACCGTTACTTGTTCACATTTATACATGCTCTTGGACCTCACTATGCGTTGCGTAAGCCTGTTCTGTTGATATTACGTCCTCCTCAGTTGTTCTTGAAGGATTTTTGAGTGGTCTTCCCATTTTACTTAAAGATTTTATAGTTGTGTTCCTTGCAAATCTGCCAGGACCATCACATGCAGATTCTCCACAATCTGTTTTGTTGTTGTTATCAGTTGTTATGATGTCACCAGCTTCCTGTATTTGATATATTAACCTCTTTTGGAAATATACATAAGTGATGATGTTGAGAGAGCATTATTTGGAATATTATACAATTGACGCAGGATATAAGTAGGAAGCTATAGAAATGTATTATCCTAGAGTTGAAGTGGCTACTGATAAAGTTCTCTGCTGTATCATGAGTATGCATGCCATTTACATAGTTACACATTGTAGCTTGTTGCACTAGAGAACAAGAATGCAAATATGTTCACAGATTGTGTTGGTATCCAGACCGAGTTGATTTGATTGGTATCGTAGTAACGTTCAAGTTCAATGGAGAAGTCACATTACTTTTGTGAATCACAAAAATATCAAATATACAACATTTGCTGCTTGGACTCAGGTATAACTGTAGTTTCTGGAAGTTGGTCAAGAATGACCGACTCAATCTGGAACAAACAGGTGAATGTAGAATTTAAGATACTCTAGATTTGATAAAAAATTCAATATATTGGTCTGCCATGCTGCAAAGGAAATTTATTACAGTTGTGTTTTATCATTGGAAATATATGTATTAATATGTGCATCATAGAAGTTTGGAGTTGATTACCTATGTATTTAATGGGTTCTCAAGAACTCCTGTTGGTAAACACTCATGAAGTCTTCCAGATACGTGGGAAAAGCATGTTGCTTACACATTTGATGTTGAAAAAGGTGAACCCAATATATCCAGCCTTACCCCTTCAAATAAAACGGCTGTTTCTCTGACTTGAACTGTGCTCATTCAGGTCGCCAAGGTTCATCATTAGTGTTGCACTGAGGTGCATGTTCACTTAGACATTTAGTGTTGATTTTAGTAAAAAAAATATAGCTAAGTAAAATATCATACATATTAATTTATATGTGTATTCCATTTCATTTGTTTCATGTTACCTATTGACATTGTGAGTCTCAGATGTACATGACCAAAGGAATGGTGCTTACAAATTTAATGTTGTTTTTAGTAAAAGAATTCAGCTGTGATGAGGTAAAGCGTGCTATATTTTGGTTTTATTTGTGTATCATATTCCACTGTTTCATATTACCTGTGAGGAAGTAAAATATGCTATAATTTGGTTTTATTTGTGTATCACAATCGACTACTTCATATTACCTATTGACATTGTGAGTCACAGTTGTATTGACTGTTCTGTATGTATATAATTTCTTTTGAGCATTGAGTCTTTTGATTAAAGTTGAAATAATTCTCTCTTCTACCGCTCAGCTAAGGAAATGGAATGAGAGATGGGTTATCTTAGATCCAACAACTGGAAAGATGGAATACAAGTATGATAAAATGGCTTTTTTGAGGATAATTTTTTACGTTAGAACCACTTTGTGTTTTTTGGATTGTCAAAGATTACCGTCTCTTGGCATAGGACTCGAAGAAATGAAGCAGTTATGAAGGGGACCATCATTTTTGATTTGAACAGCACAATCACTATCTCCCCTGTAAATTTCCAGTAAGATTGTCATATATAAAATCATATTTTAATTTTGCCTTATTCACTTCTTAGGATTGAGCATAAAAATTCTCTAATCTTTTTTTCCTCTCTGCAGTGGGCTGCAAAAGTATGATGGTTGCTGCTTCTGTATCCATTTACCTCGATCTTAATTTGACAACATATGAAATACTTCTTATTGCTCATTGACTTATCATCAATCAAAATTTCATATTATTGCTGGGATTAGGTAATAAATCTGTTTCAATTTCTTGACTAAATTTTCAGACATTGGAACTCCTCAGAAGAAAGAGTATTTCCTTTGTGCTGAAACACCTGGTGCTGCAAGAGCTTGGGTATCCACTTTGCAGTAAGCTTGTGGAGCTTAAACTTTGCATTATCTTGTAGATCAATGTGTCAAATACCTGACTAAATATTAATATCTTCTGTTATATTATAGTCGCCAGTTATGCAGACTGTAGAATTATTTAATATCCATTAACCACTGCACATAACTTGAATCCTGTTTTAAAAGCATTTAATTTTAAATTAGCACCAGGAAGTTCTCAAATTTGGTATGCTTATTTGAGTTCAGGTGGACTTATCTGAGTTCTGAAGTGGCAATATTATGCTTATTCAAGTTTCAAACTTTTCGATATTCAGTCTGTTTCAATATCTGTTTTATCATGTCTGGTTTGTCATATGTTGATTTTGTCCAATGACCAGTGCCACTCAGCTGGTGCTACGGGCTCATAGAGAGGCAGTGAATAACTTGACCGGTAATGGCCCTACAAAATTAGGAACAGTTGCTACCGTGGTTGCAGCTGCTAACTCAACTGCAATGGAAGCATCAAAAGAAATTGAAGCAGCAATGAAGATATCCATGAGAGCAGCTCTGGGCTTGGTGGCTAATAAGCCAAATGAAGGTCATCTTGATGATCTTACAATTATGAAGGTACCTACAGATTTGATGTTATATAAACCAGATGTCATAGGGACATTTTATATCTGCAATAATGGAATATAAATGCCTTGTAGTTACCAGTTTGATCGCTAGTGATGTCTCATTTTGATACAAGCTTATGACATATATCTTCACAGAAATAGGATGGTAAATTGACGGTTCAGTTAGAGTATGAGATTCAGTTAAATATTTCTGAGCTTGTATACTTTCATGGATGTAGGACGGTAAACTGAGGGTCCAGTTTGTAAGTAAATGATAAACTAATAGGCATACTCACTTTGACCATTTACAACCATTCTTGTTTTAAATGTCAGGCAAAAATTAAGAAAATGAAGTTTTGATTACATTATGAACTAAATTTGTAAGGTGTTTCTAGTGTAGGATCATTTGTATGTTAAAGAAATTTGAATTGAGCAATAAGACTAAAATTTTTCACAGATTGGGAGCATTGGATATTTAAGGAGCTCCGTGCACAAAAGGTAACTTTGTAGAGTTGAAAATGATTGGGGCAGTTAGCCAGAACTATAGAAATTGATAGAAAATTAAGGTGGTCAAAATCATGTTGGCTGGATCAATTCTCAATAGACAAGGCTAATTGCTCAAGGTGGTAACCTTTCACAAGGCTAATTGGAAAGGAGTTTACAGGTTCTCTCAGTAGCTTTCCTGTCTGTGACAAGTGATTACTAGTTTTGTTTTGCACTTTCATATTATCCCCAAAATGCGATAACTAAGAAGGTGGTTGGCAGCAAGGTTCATCATACCACAGTGGACTGCTCGGTATGGGCTGTATGCGCCGGTCTGATAGGAGACTGGTACGGGCAGTACATCAGTATGCCCCTATGTATCATGTGTCAGTATGCTCGGTACAACTCAGTACATACTGTACTAATAGTTGGTCGGTACACCGATACAGACCGGTAAGGCGAACCATGGTTGGAAGGATATTGGCAAGCCATCTAGGGTTGAGCCTTTCCATCAGAAGATATTCCTCCTCAAAGAAACAATTGCTATCTTTCAACTTGCAGTTGCCCTTTGATGCTGAGGAACACTAGTTTGTTATGTATTCTCCTGCTCTACCTTCTTTTTTAAAAGATTTGACCCCATTAGGA